TTTTATTTCTAGGAGAGAGAGAGAGACAGCGTGAGCAGGGGAGGGTCAGAGAGAGAGGGAGTCACAGACTGAAACAGGCTCCAGGCTCCGAGCCGGCAGTCAGCACAGAGCCCGACGTGGGGCTCGAACCCACGAAGCGCAAGATCATGACCTAAGCGAAAGTCGGACGCTCAACCGACTAAGCCACCCAGGCGCCCTAACTACTGTTTCTGAATCGGGAGTCCAGAACCTCCCATGAGCCATTGTCCCCTGAAGCCCAGATCCTGGCTCAGCTCACAGGCGTGTTTGCCTGCCGGTTCAGGGCTGTGAAAGCAGCTCCTGCATCCACCCTCATGGGCTAGCAGGCCCACCACCTGATTATGACATCCAAGGAAACCTCCTGCCTCTTCCCCTCTCACCCTCCCTCCCTGCTTTCCCATCAGGGCTCTGTCACCTTTCACGGTTGCCTTGATCCAAGGCCCGATATGGGATATCCAGGAAGAGTCGATGGTCACAGAGAAGGCCGTGCCAATGGGCAGAGGTCTGGGGTGTGAGGCGGAAGTGGAAGTCTAATTGTACTGGGTCTTGGTGGAGCAGGGGGTCAGTAGCCAGCACCGTCAGGTTCCCAGCCTGGAAAAGGGACAGAAGATTAACTGTCTCCTCCTGCTCTCATCTAGTCCTCGGATCAGATCTTGGGCCAGTCTGCCTGTGTCAGAGGAAGCAAATTCCCACTCTGTCCCTTAGTCTTAGGCCCTAATTCTCTATCATGGAGTTTCCCTTGATATCTAGAAAGGAGTCAAATGAGTTGCAGTATTTCTGCCTGCTAACGTCACCCAAGGGGTGCACCAACCCTTCAGAAACTTATATCAGAGAGGGTTTTTTTGTTTTTTTGGTTTTTTTAGTAATCTCCACACCCAACATGGAGCTTGAACTCACAACCCCAAGATCAAGAGTTGCATGTTCCACCAACTGAGCCAGTCAGGTGCCCCTGGAGAGCTTATTCTTTAAACAATGCTGTGTCATCTGTTTACTGCGTCACTGACCATGCTCTTCCACTTTTTTACATCATAGAAGTTTTCTCTGAATTCTCCGATTTCTCATTTAAAATGCACCTTACCACAGGTATGTTACTGTAGTGTGGTCCAGGGCCAAGTTGAGGAGTGCCAGGTTCTGGTCCCCGCTTGCCATCTAAACAACTTTATGTCGCAGAACTCAATACATTCTGCTCTATGTTCCTACCTCCTCTTTTCCCGTCCTGCATCTCACCACCAGCTCTATGAACTTGACTTAATATCTCCGGGCTAGGATCCTTGTTTCTAAAGCAGTAGCTGTTCTGCATGAGCATCAAGATCTAGTTGTTTTCCAGCTAGCAAATGCCCCCTCTCCACAAGGTGTCATTGCAGCAACCCTGGCACAGCACCAGTGTGCTTACCGAGTACAATTACCACTTACCGAGTATAATTCTTTAAGCTGGTCGTGGTCACCCTGCTCGGTGCATCTGACCACCTGGAGGCCTGCTGGAGACTCAGGAGCACTGAAGGCAGGAACGGGGCCGGAGTGTCAAGTCCTCCCGTTCCTTATATATGATGCTGGTTGGGAAAAGGGGCCCAAATTAGTTTACCTCTGCATCTGAGAAGGGGAGGGGTTCATAACTTTCAGGTACATAGGACCAGGCTCTCGCACTATCTTCTCATGGATGAGCCTATTCCATTCTCCCAGGCCAGCCAGGTGGAAAAATGTTTAATTCCATGCCAGCCTTCTGCCCTATTTTGCTATTATTATCTCTTGCCACCGGGATAGTTCCTTCAGATTCTCTTATTTTTCCTGACAGTTTATATAATAAACAACTACAAGTAGAGATGAAAACAAGTACCTCTTATAACAAGGCAGCATCTTCTCCCGGAGGGTGATCCGGTATTTGTAACAGTAAAGGTAATAGGCGTATGGTGACCAGATCGGGTAGAGGTAGTTCCGTGTTTTTCCCCTCTTGATATAAGAAAGGGAGAAGACAGAGGGGCGCAACCTGTTACAAGGCAGTTTCTCAGTTCAGTGCCTCCCTGCGGCAAAGTGAGGTTCAGAGATGAGTGCCAGAGGCTTAGGCAGCCTGCTGTCATTGTGACCCGGTGGGCACTATGACATGGGCAAAGAGTCAGCCCGTACACCACTTCAAGACTCCACTGTGCTGCTCCTCCCCACCCAACCCCCTTAGCTAAGGCTCCTGTTCACCTACTCCATACTTCATGGCTGTTCCAGTGGTTTTGTTTTCTTATACCGTACTTTATCTTCTGTACTGATTGGTAAATAGCCCTGCCTGAACACTTGCAGAATGCCCCCAACCTGGCCCCTTATTCCGGCGGACGCACGCATGCATGCGTGTGTGCACACTCATGTAACACACATGCACACACACACACACACCACTTCAGCAATTAAATGGTTGGTGTCTGACACTGTAGGTTTCCAAGGCCATGATCCAATGTCTGACCTGATTCGTCAGTTCCCAGTTCCTATCAATTCAATATTTTTATTATCATCCCTACCTTTAATAACCTAGGGGTGCTGCACATTGTTGAACTTTCTCATTGCCTGGTAGTGTGGAAATTGCAAACTACATGCCTTTAGGAGCCAAGACAGCTAATGGAAATTAGTGGAGCTGCTGGGTGGGACTGTAGCAAAATGGAAAGCTCATATACTGTCTAAAAGCAGCTGACAACTCAGTTTCATCCAGTTGCAGAAATGTAGGCTCAGTGGTTCCAGATCGTATGATTTTTCAACATAAAATAGATTTTTGTGCCAAATTCCTCCAAAATGTTTACAATAGTGGTTATTAACTAAAAATAAATAAATAAATAAAAGGCATTGATTTAAAAAATCAACATCGTGAGCAAAATCTGATTCGGGGGCCACCATTTTAAGACCTCTGCACAATCATTCACTCAACAAATATTTATTGAGGGCCTACTGAAAGCCAGGCAGAATTCTAGGTGCTGGAGATCCACAAGTAAACAAAGATCCGTGCCTAATGGAGCATAGCTTCTAACAGTGAGAAGACAAAACAACAAACATTGTTAAGAAAACTTAGTATGTTAGATGAGAACTGCTATGGAGGAAAGAGCAGAATAAAGGAAGGTCAGGAGTGTGAAGGGGGTGGGGCAGGCTGGGGAAACAGCGATCCAAGTAGACCTCATTGAAAAGGTGGCATTTAATCAGAGCCTTAAAAGAGGTGAGGGAGTTAGCCAAGCCAACATCTGGGGGTAAGAGCATCCGGCATCTAAGCAACAGTGGATGTAAAAGTCCTGAAGAGAAAGTGCCTGGTGTTTTCAAGAAACAGCAGGGAGGCTGCTGTTTCCTAAATTGTTGGGAAAGTTGGAGGTGAGGGCAGAGAGCTAATTGGTCAGATTAGGGAGGGCCCTGTAGACTACGTTATGAGGGAAGTCACTTCAAAGTTTTGTGTAGAGGCGTGATATGATCTTATCTAGCTTTTTAAAAAGATCCTGACTTGCGTTGTAAATAAACTGTGGAGTATTAAGGGAGATTTGCTAAGAGACTACGGCAGTGATGGAAGAGAAAGACAGTGTCCTCTTCCAGGTTGAAGCACTGAAGGTGGTGGAAGTGGTTGGATTCTGGAAATCGTTTAAAGATAGAACCCACAGGATTTCCTGGAGTGTGAGAGAAAGAAGTTGAGTCTCAACGCAAGCCTGAGACCGGGAAGGCTGCAGGGAGGCAGTCTGACGCGGGGTATAGGGACGGGTTTAGTTTGGACCACGTTAACTCTGAATCGTCCACTAGACATACAAGGAGAAGAAGAAAGAGCAAGCTCTTCAAGTTGAGCGAAGTTAGAAGTCTAGGATGGAGAAAGAACTTTGGAAGTCATCAGACTGAAGGAGATCAAAGCCTGTGTGTACACGGAGTAAAGATCCAAAGACTGCCCTTGGGGCCATCTACGAAGCTGGGAGAAAAGGAGAAACCAGCCAAGGAGACTGAAGAAAGCTGGTGAAGTAGGAAGAAAACAAAAACACAACTAGTGTCCTGGAAGGTGAGTGAGGAAAGCGCAATTCAGAGGAAGCTCAAACAAGTAAAACAACACGATGCTTAGAGCCCCTTTACACAATCTCCGCTGCCTAAACAGACCCTTCCCATCCCATCCTGGTGGTCTTTTCTCGGGCGCTGAGACCCCACCCCTGCTTCCCTTTTCTGTGGCTCATCTCCCTTGTGATCCAGGGTTCTTTCAACTTGAGCTTAAATACCGCAGTTGTAAAGGTGAAGGGTTAGCTTCCTCCCCAAGCTGCCATAGTTCCCCAGGGAATCCCATCCCTCCACCACTTTCAGGGAGCTCTGAAGTGACGAAAAGTGAAAGCTGCACCCCTCTCCCCTCAGCGTGCTAGAGCCGGAAGGGACCTCGGGGCTGCGGCGGCTTAACCAAGGCCCCCATTTTAAAGCGAAGCCAAAGGGACACGGTGTCTTTCCCAGCTCCTTCCACGATCTGTCAGTAACTACGGGCGTCCCTGCCTCGAGAGGAAACCGGAGAGAGGGAGTAAGGAGACGCGGATTCACCGAGCGGCGGACTCGGACTCCGCCGCGCGCGAGGACGGGAGGCCCGGCCAGCTCGGGCCGGGTCTGCCCCTCGGCTTCGCCAGCCTGAGCGCCGGCGGCTCAGGCGCGCCCCGGGCAGCCGCGGGGGCCTTTCCTGCGCCGGCGCCGAGGGCCGGGGCCTCCTCTGCGCTCCCTCGGCGCCGGGAACATGGCGGCGGTTGCGGGCAGGATGCTGCTGCGCGGGGCCGTTCGGGGGCTGCTGCGGCCGCCGCCGGCTGGGGACACCGCTGGCCCGGAGCGCAGCTTCAGCCTCTCCCACAGTCGGGTGAGGACCAGCTCTGAGCCGGGGGGCGGGGCGGGGGTCCTGGCCTTCGGAGGGGAGGTACTCTTTACGCCCGACTGTTGCTCCTGGGGGGTTCCGGCCTGAGGGTGGCGGGCGAACCTTGTGCCGGTGACGGACGACGGCAGGGGTTTCTCTGGGGGATTCGTTCACCCTCGCTCCCCGACTGCCAGGGCACCGTCGTCGTGGAGCGCTGGTGGAAGGTGCCGTTGGCCGGGGACGGCCGGAAGCCGCGCCTGCACCGGCGACACCGCGTCTACAAGCTGGTAGAGGACACGAAACACGGGCCCAAAGGCAACCTGGAGCTCCTCCTCACCCAGTCGGTGGTAGGTAAGGCCCGGCAAAGGCGTTTCCTACCTCGGGCCGGCTCCGTTTGCCATCAGCCCTTTCCTGCCGGCCCCGCTTAGCTGTTCGCGGCCTTTCTCTACTGTGTAGAAATGATCTCTGTATTTGAGAAGAAGCCATGGAAGTGATTGTGGTTGGCTTCCTGCATAGAAAAAGGAACACGAATGGCGCAACTGTGTGCAGGGGAAAGGAGGCCCAACAGCATGTGCTACAGTGACCGAAATCCTTTGATGGGACAAGTCTCACTTTGTACAGGGAATGTGAAATTTCTAATTTAGGCCCTAAAAAAACGAATTAGAAGTCTCTTAAGTGTTGTTCTTAGTGAGTATTAATATTTTTCCTAGGAGGAATAAGTACTGTGAGAGAATAATAGGTGCATCTTTTTTTTAATTTTATTTTTAATGTTTTATTTATTTCTGAGAGAGAGAGACAGCCAGCGTGATCAGGGGAGGGTCAGAGAGAGTGGGAAACAGAATCTGAAGCAAGCTCCAGGCTCTGAGCTGGCAGTCAGCACAGAGCCGGATGCGGGGCTCAAACCCACGAACCCGTGAGATCATGATCTGAGCCGAAGTCTGACTGAGCCACCCAGGTGCCCCAATAGGTGCATCTTTGATCTCCTCTTTAGGTACTAGCCAGCCTGATCCAGTGTCTGTTCTCATCCACAGGACTTGGGGTCCGGGGTGACCTGGTCTCAGTGAAGAAATCTTTGGGCCGGAATCAGCTGTTGCCTCAAGGTCTGGCTGTATATGCATCCCCTGAAAACAAGAAACTGTTTGAAGAGGAGAAATTGGTGAGCAGAGGGACTTGGAAGAATAAAACCTTAAGATTTTTTCTAGCAATTTCCTTCCCTTTGATGTTTAATTTAAAAGTGAAATAGGGATGAGAAGAACAGGAATCCAGAAACCCAGCCTATGTCTAGCATAAGAGTTTGATATTTATCATAGACTCATTTTTCTCCCTTTGTTTCACCTTGAACTTTCTTTTCTTTTTCTTTTCTTTCTTTCTTTTTTTTTTTTTTTTACAAATAGTTTATTGTCAAATTAGTTTCCACATAACACTCAGTGCTCATCCCCACAAGTGTCCTCCTCCGTGCCCATCCCCCCTCTCTCCCCCATCCATCAGTCCTCAGTTTTTGTCAGCATTCAAGAGTCTCTCATGGTTTGCCTCTTGGACTTTCTTTTCTAGCTGAGAAAAGAAGGAAAATTAGAGAAGATCCAGACCAGGGCAGGTGAGATGGTGAGTAACAACACAGAAAAGTCTTATTTGCCACTTAAGGAGTTAGCAGCCTCTTCCTGAGAGGCTCCTTGATTTCCTTGAAGGATCCTGATCGTAGACACAAGCGTAGTAAGAAGAAGGGGAAATGTTTGGCTGCCGAAACTGGTTTTGAGACTTCCTGGGAGATCCTGACTTGCTGAGTCCCCGACCCAGGTAGCAGGCGACCCATGGAAAAGTGTGAGATGAGGGCTCTGCCTCCATAGCTGTTTACAGATAAGTCACAACAAACATAGACACATGAGAAAGTGATCAGTAATTTCAAGGGAGTAGATTGTAAGAATGACATGGACCAGAAAGGATTAGGTTGATGGGAGGGTCTTTTTCAGATGGGATTAAATTGGGCCTTGTGGGGGGCGCCTGGGTGGCTTAGTCGGTTAAGCGTCCGACTTTCGCTTAGGTCATGATCTCGCAGTTCGTGGGTTCGAGCCCCGCGTCGGGCTCTGTGCTGACTGCCAGCTCAGAGCCTGGAGCTTGTTTCGGAGTCTGTGACTCCTCTCTCTGACCCTCTCCTGCTCACGCTCTCTCTCTCTCTCCTAGAAATAAATAAAACATTAAAAAAAAAAAAAAATTGGGCCTTGTGGGATTAGTAGGCTTTGGATAGGCCAGGAGGGCGGAAAAGGGAAAAGAAATGAAGGTAGGTAGTGAAGGCATGTTTTAACATAAAAAGTTCAGTCTAGCAAAAGCAGAGGACTCATATAGGGTAATAGTTACGGCTATAAAGGGGGTTGGGATGAGATTTGTATAACATTTTGAATCCAGCTGAGTTTTTTGTTTTTTTTTTTTTTTAATGTTTTGTTTATTTCTAGGAGAGAGAGAGAGAGAGACAGCATGAGCAGGGGAGGGTCAGAGAGAGAGGGAGTCACAGACTGAAACAGGCTCCAGGCTCTGAGCTGGCAGTCAGCACAGAGCCCAACGCGGGGCTTGAACCCACGAACCGCGAGATCATGACCTAAGCGAAAGTCGGACGCTTAACCGACTAAGCCACCCAGGCGCCCCTGAATCCAGCTGAGTTTATATTTCATTCTGTAAGCAGAAAGGAATTATTAACTGGGGAGCAGTGGGACTCAAGGGCCAGAAGTATTGGGTTAAAATGGTCTATGAAGGTCATTCTGTCCCAAGATTTATCAGTGATCCCCATTGAGAAGTCTGACTTTGACAGGGCCTGTTTCTCCTTGCTTAGGAACAACCAAGAATAGGTGACATTCCCCTCCAAAGTATCACTAAAACATGTTTGTACAGAATCAGCCTTGAGACCATAGGAATGTTCTCTGTTTCCAATTCATCTCACCTGTATGCTTGTGAGGCAGAAGTTGTGCCTCTTTCCTGAATTCAGATCTTGTGTCTCTTGCTAACATGTGTCTTCCTTTTTGATTCCAACTATAACCTAGCCCCTGTTTACACTTCCTATCAGACAGTGAAATTTCTGAAAAGCTGTCACCTGGAGGTGGGGATGAAGAACAACGTCAGATGGGAACTAAACCCTGAAATAGTTGCCCGCCATTTCTTCAAAAATGTGAGTGTTCCCAGGCACCACTGTCCCTGTGAGGGCAGAAGCTACCCCTGGGAAGGAGGCCCAGGATTGATCCCTTCGTTAGGAAAGGGTGTGTTCGTCCAGCCGAAGTTAGGGAAAGTGTCCTTGGTTGCAGGGGTTGAGGAAGGGAAGTGACTCACAACTAAGAGTGGCCAGAATTTGAAGACTGATAGGAAAAGATAGTGGTAGCATTTATTTCTTCTGTAGGAGAAACCTGGGAAATGTGACTCATTGTGCAGTTTGTACTTTTGTGGATGAAGTGACTTCGGTCTCAAGCCCTGTTTCTCTTTGGTGGATCCTCCTCCCTTTCTGAGAAATTAGGACTGAGTTTCTCTGCCACTGTCTGTGGAGGGGAAACATGGGATCGGCCAGGGTAAACTCTGCTTTATTCATTCCTGTACAGGAAATTCCAGAACCTTCTTTGAGGTTGCCTAGAGTTGCATCAGTGTAAACAGCTCCTTTTGGCTTTGGCTTTTTTTGCAGCTTGGTGTTGTGGTCGCCCCACATGCATTAAAATTACCAGAAGAACCCATTACACAGTGGGGCGAGTACTGGTGTGAGGTGACGGTGAGTGTTTCACATCCTGTCCCCTTTTTCTCGCGGGTAAGCAGCTTGGTATTCGTTTTTACCTGCCCAACTAACCTCTGAGGATTCCTTTTGTTTTGTGCAGGTAAATGGACTTAACACTGTGAGGGTGCCTATGTCTGTGGTGAACTTTGAGAGGCCCAAGACCAAAAGATACAAGTACAGGTTAGCCCAGCAAGCTGCCAAGGGAATGGCCTCCACCAGCTCCCAGACGATCTGAACCTGTTCTCCCTCAAAAGCAGAAGAGCAGAACCGGGGCCCTGGGGGACTCAGTGAGCTGACTGCCTGACTGCAGCTCAGGTCATGGTTTCTCGGTTGGTGAATTCAACCCCCACATTGGGCTCTCTGCTGTCAGTGCAGAGCCCACTTGGATCCTCTGCCCCCCCCTCCCAAAAATGAGTAAACATTAAAAAAAAAAAAAGCAGAATCAGGATCATTGGAGCAGCGATGGGCCATCATCCTGATAGGATGACTGCAGCTCTGACAAAATAGTAGAATTTTACAGAGCACGTGAAGACATCGGCCAAAACTGCATGTACGTGTTGAATCCTCCATCTTTGACTGTTATCACATCCGGCCTTACTGGGGCAGTCCTGCTCAGGGAGTACCAGGCTGTAGATTTCATAAGCTGAGTATTAACAGATGGAAACAGTTTGGATCTTATTTAGCCTGAAATTCACTGGAACAAATGGAAGAGCTAGTCGCTGTCTCCAGTAGTAGGCTCATTCTCCTACAAACAACATTTGTATTTCAGGAGGAAATAAAGAGGCTATGCTGTTTTTATTTTATTTTTTTTTAATTTTTTTATTCTTGTATTTACAGTTAATTTTATTCAGTTATGATTTAATGCTGCACCTTTATGTCTGTTTACATTTCCCTTGATTGCAAATTGGTACCATGTATGGTCTTTAAGCGTGTACGTATGCTTTGGTAAATTTTACGTTTTAATTTTTTTACTTGTAGTTGACAACACCATGTTACATTATTCTCAGGTGTACAGCAGAGGGGTTGGATAATTCTATACATTAAGCTGTGTAGCTATCATTTGTCACCATGCAGTGCTATTACAAAACCGTTGACTAGAGAGATTGTGTTCTTAGATGCTGTTTATGGGGCTTGAGTAGACTGGGGATAGAACTTCCAAGTAGGTTGTCCTCTTGAGCTACTGGAGTTTGGTGCTAAAAATGAAGGAAGAGAATGGATTTGCAGGCTACATCCCATGGGTGCTGTGGGCAAATTACCTAACAAGCTGATACATCTTTGATCTTAAAAGTTACTTTTGTTAGGTATATTGATAAAGCTATAAATATGAGTAAGCACAATGGATTCTCCTTTTCCAAAGGGATCTGAATAAGGCGTAAGAGTAATTGTTGGAGAAAATGAAGCTGAGATGAGAGAAGCTTAAAAAGGGAACTTATCTTTTATTTCCATAACCAGCCCCTGAAATTTTGGAAAAGATGGTATCTTGGTTTCCAGACCAAGGTTAAGATATAGGGCTAGTCATTAAGATATAGGGCTAGTCATTGGGTAATTATGGAATAGGTATCTTGATAAGAGATAAGGGAAGTAGATAATTCTGTATAAGTTCAAGGTCTGTGAGTGGAAAAAAGATGCAACTGTTGTCAAATGGATTGTGCTAGTTGCTGAAATACAATGTGAGGTCACACAATTTAGGAGTGGTAAAGATGGGACCATCGACTCTTTCCTGTCTTTATCAGAAGCTCAGAGATACTAGTTTCTAACCTAGTGTTTGAGCTCACCTACCACTCTGAGTTGGTTAAGCACTTTGAGGCACATGAGGCCATCCCAACTAATAGAAGTGTCATCAGTTGCGCTGAAAACCATAGCCAGCCTCACACTTGCCAGACTCCAGAACTCAAGTTATGCTGAAACTTAAAACTGATTTTTGAAATCTGCCATTTCAACGGTCTCCATCCCTGCTGTTCCTGGTGAAAAGCTCATTTAACACATCTTTCCGCACCACCATGTCCCCATCATGAAGGTCTCTGAAATTGCCTGAGCATCAGGCACTAAATTCCACACAGCTAATCTCAAAAGTGTTTAAATATGTCATTGTGTGAGTTTCTGGTGAAACAGACTGAATTGGGAATTTGTGTGCAGGAAGTTTATGGTTGGGGAGTCCAGGAAGTAGGATTCTGTAGAGGGGAGGTTAAGCCGAGACGTCTCAACAATGACCTCGGTCAGTCCCTCACACTCAAGCCAGGATGGCTGTGTGGAAACGTGTACCCTGCTGAAGCAGGTGGACACACACCCACATTAGCTGGAAAAGGGCCATGTCCTTGGGTGAGGTGCCTGACTTCAGGCAAAAGCAGTTCCCCAGGGGGACTCAGGTGAGCATTCTCTGCATTCTGAGCAGCTTGGGAAATGAGTGCTTCGGTCCTGAAGCCGGGAGTCTGGGCAGCACACCAGGTCTTCACTATAGTCCACCTTTTGTGCTGTTCGGATCCATTGCATCATAGGTTCTAGAGTGATCCCTTCAGGAACCTGTTGGGCCTCTTTTCCGGGGAAAGCTATTTAACAGGAAGGTCTGGGACAGACCACAGCCCCTGCTGCTGTAACTTCCCCTGTCTGCACTGGTACTCCGCTCCCTTGTCTACTCCCCATCTAGATTTCTACCCACACCCCTCAACTTGTACTTCTGGTCCAAGTAGGCTGCCTGATAAGGTACCTGGTCATTATGTCCTTTCAGGTCATGTCTGCATCTGTCCATTTATCATCAAAATTGATACATGTGCCAGAATAGGATTCCCAAGTGTGGAATATGATGTCTGTAGACCCCAAGGCCGTTTCTCGGGCACTGTGTTCCCTTCTTAGTAGTGAGACGTGAGATGTCAAACTTCTTTACTTTGGAGGGAACATCCTGGCATGGTCCAGACCACCGGACCTCTAAAGACATCAGTGAATGTTTGCAGGTTTAGGTACCACTACTGGAAGGACGTTCATCCTGTGAGGGCCTCTAGCGTACTTGCCATGTCTTGCTGCTCCTGTAGAGTTACCACGATGTCATCAGTGCAGTAATGTGATAATCTGTGGAATGTCCATATGGTCCAAGACCTGTCATGACAGGGTGGGAGGGTTTACACGGTCCAGGTGCAAGACAATAGATAGCACTGCTCATCCCACTGGTGAAAGTGCTTTTTCTGGTCCTCCTTTCTTACAGAGATGGGAAACCGTGTATTGCTCAGTTTAGTGGCTGCCTATCATGTACCTGAGGCTGTGTTAATCTGCTCTAGCAAAGACCCCACATTTAGCATTTAGCACGGCAGATAAAATTGAAATTACTTGTTGATTGAGATGTCTGTCATCCACTGTCATCCTCCAGAACTTTCTGGTTTTACCAGGGACCTGACTGGTGAATTAAATGGTGTTTTAATGGGCCCACTGTCCCTGCATCCTATAGGTCTGCAAGAGGGCCACTGATGGGATAGTTTTTATTGATTATCTTGGCCTGAGATGGTGGAGGCAGCTTCAGGAGCTTGGTGCTGGCCTTTCTCACTATGATAGCTCTTACCCTATCATGGTTAGTGTAGTTCTGCCAACTATCAAGTATATCCGTCTCAGCTACCCATTAAGGACCAATGAAATGACCGCTAGGTGGATCAATGAGCCCAGCAGGACCACTGAGAGCTAAACCTGGGCCTTGAGTACATTTGTCACCCCACCCCCATGCGCTGCCACTCCAACAGGGGCCACGATGATGCTTCAGATCTGTGGACATCAGTGTCAGATAGGACCCTGTATACAATAGTTTCTCAAATGGTTGAATGTGCCTCTTTCTCCAGCGTGTTTTAAGTAAACAAATGGTTGTGAGTCCTTACAGGGTAGGACTAGGGATGGGTTATTACCTTATATGCTTACCATGCTGTTTCAGGGTCCTTTCTCCTAGGGGCCTAGCCTCTTACTTCAGTTGTTTCCAGCTGAAAAACTGGTTCAGGAAGACTTCTACTTCCACTCATGAAATGATCACCTACAGAAATCACCTTCCCATTATAAACAACTAAAAAAAACACAAAATTATAAAAGAAATATTTATGGATATTGAGCAGGTAGTGCAGAACTTCGTTAAATGAGAAAAGGGAAATAAACGAGATGAACCCTATGATTGCCTCAGTTTGCTCCCCAGAGATAGTTTCCTGCACTGTGCTGTAGGGAGCATTGCAGAGGGGGTGGTGGAGGGTCATGAAGTCCCACCTGCCCCTCCCATGCCAAAGCAGTTCACAGAAAGTTAGTTAAACAAGAAGTTTAAATTTGGATTCAATCCTCATGACCAAAATATCTAGGTTCCACTAAAAAGTCATCTTGGGTTGCCTGACTGGCTCAGTCAGAAGAGCACATGACTCTTGATCTTGGGGTGGTGAGTTCAAACCCCCTGTTGGGCGTAGAGATTACTTAAAAAACTAAAGTTGTGGGGTACCTGGGTGGCTCAGTCAGTTTAGCATCTGACTTCAGCTCAGGTCATGATCTCAGTCTGGGTTCGAGCCCTGCGTTGGGCCCTGTGCTGACAGCTCCGAGCCTGGAGCCTGCTTCAGATTCTGTGTCTCCCTCTCTCTCTGCCCCTTCCCTGTTTGTGTGTGTGCTCTCTCTCTCTGTGTCTCTGTTTCTCTCTCTCTCTCAAAAACAAACGTTAAAAGAAAGTTGTTATATATGGGGGAGGGGGGGCTGTCCTCATCATACCAAGAACCAGGAATATCTCAAACTGAATGAAAAAAGACAATAGATGCCAATATTGAGATGACACCACAATCAGCCAGCAGCACCTAATCAACACTTATAGAACACTCCACCCAACAGCAGCGGAACAGACCTTTATTATGCTCCCACAGAACATTCACCAAGATGGGCCTTAACCTGGACCACAAGACAAATATCAACAGGTTTAAAAATGGAGTCACACAGAACGTGCTCTCTGATGACCGTGGGCACAGCAGTAGAAAGAAAGGAGGAAAAAGATCTTGTAATACTTCAAAGCTACATGCACTTGAAAATAATCCTTGGGGCAATGAGGAATTCTCAAGGGAAACAAATTTCCAATGCATTGAACTGAATAAAAATGAAAACATCAAACATGGTGGCACACGACTAAATCAGTGCTGAGGAAAAATCAAAGCACTAAGTCATTTTATCTGAAGCCAGCTCCAGGCCTTAAGGGAAAAAAAAGACCAAAGTAAACCCAAAGCAAGCATGAGCAAGGAAATAAAAATAAGAAAAGCAATAGAAAGCAAAGGAATGTATAAAAGAAAAATAGAGAAAATCAATGAAAGAGCTAGTTCTTTGAAAAACATCAATAAAATTGACAAACCACTAGCAAGACTGACTAAAAAAAAGACACAAACTACAAATACCAGGAATGAAACAGCATATCACTAGAAACTCCACAAATACCAAAAAGATTATAAGGGAATACTATAAACTGCATGTGTAAATTTGGCAAAATGGGGCCGCCTGGGTGGCTCCGTCGGTCAAGTGTCCGACTTTGGCTCAAGTCGTGATCTCACGGTTCCTTGGGCTCTGCTGACTGCCAGCTCAGAGCCTGGAGCCTGCTTCGGATTCTGTGTCTCCCTCTCTGACCCTCTCCCGTTCATGCTGTCTCTCTCTCTCTCTCAGAAATAAATAAAACATTAAAGTAAATATTTTTAAAGAAAAAAATAAATTTGACAAAATGGACCAAATCCTTGAAAAACGCAAACCACCAACTCTGACAGGGTCAGATTATTTGAATAGCGCTGTAACAATTAAGGGGAATTAATTCATAATTTAATCTCTCCCCTTCTCCTTCCCCCCAAAACGTTCAGGTCCAGGTGGTTTCCTTGGAGAATTCTACCAAATGTTTAAAGAGGAAATAACACTTGTTCTATATTATTTCTTCCACAAAATAGGAGGGAATACTTCCCAATTCCTAGTATTACCATGAAAACGAAACAGTACAAAAGAAAGTACAGGCCAATATCTCTCATTAATATAACTGCAAAACTCCTTAACAAAGTATCAGCAAATAGATTTTATCAAATTACAGTAAGATTTATATACCGTGCTCAACTGGGGTTTATTCCAGGGATGTAAACCTGGCTCAATATTCGAAAGTCAATCCGTATAATCTACCATATTAACCCTCTAAAGAAGAAAATCACATGATCATAAACTCATGGAGAGGGGACGCCTGGGTGGCTCAGTCAGTTAAGTGTCCTACTTTGGCTCAGGTCATGTCTCACGGTTCGTGGGTTTGAGCCCCGCATCGGGCTCTGTGCTGACAGCTAGCTCATAGCCTGGAGCCTGTATCAGATTCTGTGTCTCCCTCTCTCTGACTCTCCCCTGCTCATGCTGTCTCTCTCTCTCTCAAAAAAAATAAAACATTAAAAAATTTTTAATAAAAATAAAATTGCTCAAAAATACATAGGTATAAGTCTAAGAAAACATACAAGATATATATGGTGAAAACTACACGATGTTGATGAAAATAATCAAAGATCTAAATAAACAGAGAGACATACTGTGTTCATAGATCCAAACTGTGTTCATAGATCCAAAAACTCAACATAGTAAAGATATTACTTCTACTCCATACTGATATGCAGGTTTAATGTAATTACTACCAAAATCCCAGTATTTTTTGTAAACATATACAAGATTGTCCCAGAGTTTATATGGAAGGCAAAGGAACTAGCATAACTTAAAGAATTTTGAAAAAGAAGAATATTATGTGAGAAATCAGTCTACCCAATTTTTAGATTTATTATATAGCTACAGTAATCAATGCTGAGAAACCTGTAAGTGAAGGGATAAACACATAGATCAGTGGAACAGAATACAGATCCTGGAAACAGATTCACGAATATGCCCAACTCTTTTTTTTTTTAACAAAGACACCAAAACAATCCAATGGAGGAAAAATAGCCTTTCCAACAAATGCTAGAGCAATAGGCACAAAATAAAACTTAACCTACATCTAACATCTTATATAAAAATTAGCTCAGAATGGCCACAGACCTAAAAACTAAAACTCTAAAACTTTGTTTAAAAAATAATCTTCAAGATCTATGAATAGACCAATAGTTCTTTTTCTTTTTTTTCCCTTTTTTTAAAATAGTTTATTGTCAAGTTGGTTTCCATATAACACCCAGTGCTCATCCTCACAAGTGCCTTTTTCTTTTTTTTTTTAAGATTTATATTTTTAAGTAATCTCCACACCCAACGTAGGGCTTGAACTTACAACCCTGTGATCAAGAGTCGTATGCTCTACCAAATGAGTAGCCACATGCCCCAAAGAGTTCTTAAATTTTATGCCAAATGATCCATAAGAGGGAAAATCAGGAATTTGGGCCTCATTAAAATTTAAATGTGCTCTTGGAAAGCCCATGTGAAGAGGATGAAAGGGCAAGCTTTTTTTTTTTTTTTTTGTGCAAACTATGGATCTAACAAAGGAGCGGCATCTTGAAAATAAAAAGGACTCTTAAACTCAAAGTGAAAAAAATTACAATCTGACCAGAAAATGGGCAAAAGACCTGAACGGTTTTTTTTACCAAAAAGGATATGTAGAGGGAAAATAAGCACATGAAAAGATATTCAACACGATTAGCCATGAGAGAAATGCAAATTAAAACCACAAACGAGATATGACTATATGCCTATCAAAATGGCTAAAATTAAAAACTGTGACAACACCAAATGCTGGTGAAGATGCAGAGAAACTGGTCAGATGTTGCTGGTAGGAATGCTGGATGGGATAGCCACTTCAGAAAAGACTTTGGCAATTCCAAAGTTACACGTGCCCTTACCATTGAACTCAGGAGCCCTGTTCCCAGGCATTTACTAAAGAGAAATGAAAAGTTACTAATGATGTATTAATGTTCATAGGAACTTTATGACCCCAAATGTAAATAACCCATAGCCATCAGCATTACATAAACAATGGAATACTACTACTACTCATCAAGGTAAAGGAACTAATGATACACACCACACTGATAAATCTAAAAATATGCTATGTGAAGGGCACCTGGATGGCTCGGTCAGTTAAGTGTCTGACTCTTGGTTTCGGCTCAGGTCATGATCTCACAGTTTCGTGAACTGAAGCCCCATTCACACTGTCTCTCTCTCTCTCTCTCAAAATTAATTAATTACTTAAAAATAAATATATGAAGGGGCGCCTGGGTGGCTTAGTCGGTTAAGCGTCCGACTTTGGCTCAGGTCATGATCTCGCGGTTCGTGGGTTCGAGCCCCGCGTCGGGCTCTGCGCTGACTGCCAGCTCAGAGCCTGGAGCCTGTTTCAGTCTGTGACTCCCTCTCTCTCTGACCCTCCCCTGCTCACGCTGTCTCTCTCTCTCTCTCCTAGAAATAAATAAAACATTTAAAATAAATAAATAAATAAATATATGAAGATATGTGAAAGAAGTCAAACACAAAGGACTACATGCTATATGATTCCATCCAAGCAAAACTCTCAAAACTCAAGGTGTCAGCAGTGGCTAGGAGCCAGAGCTCTGGATGGGGATCGGAATGCAAAGGGGCATGAGCAGTGATGGGCTAGTCAATGTTTAACAACCAGCTTTCAGTGGGAAGGAGGCCCTGGTTTGTAGCATTTGCCAATTCCTGTGGTGTAAACACTCCTTCCACTGACAATTTCATGTACCCAGTGTGATGTCATTGAACACTGAGTATGGAAGAGGTGCTAGCTAACATTTGGAACCCACTAGATGTAAGCGGGCTCAGTACATCACTGGGCACAAGGAAATGTCGAGCGATGATGGAAATGTTACCTATCTTGTGGTGATGGTTAATTTGAAAAACTTACTAACATGTAGATTTTAAATTGGGGAGTTTTAATGTAAATAAATTATACTTCAATAAAAATGTTTTAATGTTTATTTATTTTGAGAGAGAGAGAGAGAGAGAGAGAGAGCAAGTGGGGGAGGGGCCAGGAGAGGGAGAGGGAGACACAGAATCTGGGCGGTCGGCACAGAGCCCAACGAAGAGCTTGAACCCACGAACCTTGAGATCATGACCTGAGCCAAAGTCGGATGTTTAACTGACTGAGCCACCCAGGCACCCCAATAAAGAATTATTTCTTAAAGCTGGCTCAGGTGTAGAAACAGGAAGAACTGTTGGGTGTTTTTTTTTTTTTTTAATGAGTTGTAACTTTTTATCAAGTGGCTGTCCTCAGCCTCCTGATCATCCATCCTTAACTTCTTTTTATTGTACAGATTGAGCAATAATAGCCTTGTTGAGGGGCACCTGGGTGGCTCAGTCAGTTCAGCATCCAACTTTGGCTCAGGTCATGATCTCATGGTTTGTGAGTTTGAGCTCCGTTTCTCTGTGCTCACAGCTCAGAGCTTGGAACCTGCTTGGGATTCTGTCTTCCTCTCTCTCCTACTCAAGCTCTGTCTCTCTCTCTCTCAAAAACAAACATGAAAAGAAAACAGCCTTGTTGAGTGCCATCTATCTTGTTCCTAGAAAAGCCATGTTCTGTGAATCATTTCCAGTAATTTGCCAACCAGATCCAGACCCTGGCTGCCCGTCCCACCACTCAGTCACTTTGATTCCGACAGCTGGGCACCCACCACCTGCCTGTTCCAGTGTCTTGCCATCCCCACTGTGACCAGTGAGCCCAGTTCCGTGATAGTTCACCACTAGCCTTTAGAGCAAGACCATCCCTGAGCTTCTCAGTGAAACTGTGCCTATCTCACCAGTACATTCTTTATCACTTTGGTAAACAGACTACCCTTGGGCCCTCTGATGGAACATAATCATCTGGTGATTTTTCTGGCTTTACTTAGCATATTTACTCTAACATGCCCACGTTTTTTAGCCCTTCAATGTCTTCTTCCAACATATACCATAACTGTTCTGGCACTTTTAGTTTTTTTAATAAATATTTTATTGTTTATTTATATTTCAGAGAGGGGGAGGCGCAGAGAGAGCGGGATGACACAGAATCCAAAGGAGGCTTCAGGCTCCAAGCTGTCAGCACAGAGCTCGACACGGGGCTGAACTCAAGAAATGTAAGATCATGACCTGAGCCGAAGTCGGAGGCTTAACTGACTGAGCCTCCCAGGGGCCCTGTTCTGGCATTTCTGCTTCACTTAAAGTGGGCCATGGCCTCCTCCAAGTTTCTAAGAAGCACCTTATCCTTTTTTTTCCCCCTGAGAGAGAGAGACAGAGAAACAGCATGAGCAGGGGACGGTCAGAGAGAGAGGGAGATACTGAATCTGATACAGTCTCCAGGCTCTGAGCTAGCTGTCAGCACAGAGCCCAACACGGGGCTCAAACCCATGAACCATGAGATCATGACCTGACCCGAAGTCAGACGCTTAACAGACTGAGCCACCCAGGTGCGCTGTGGAGCACCTTATCCTAATATTAGCAATATCTCTTGGGAGCCTTGTCAGAGCATTAAGTCCTATATCACGGAAAGTTACTTCCATATCCATCTACTCTTCCTTATCAAACTTTATATCCACCCTCCTTGATCCAACACCCACAGAATCCAGCCTGACACATCTTCACCCATCTTCAGCAAGTACTTGCTGGCCAGGCCCATGGTGCTTCCAGGGCCCTCTTCTGTAAGGGGTCACCCAGCTGGGTAAGGGAGGAGGGATAGTCATGGGCGGGAAGAAGTGGGTACTTCTGCAGGCCCAGGGGATGCAGGAGAATGGGGGGATTCAAGATTTTCTAAAGCATCAACCCAGATGTCCCACCCTGTGTCTCAGGGTCTAGCGCCTTCCAAACAGCCCTGGCAGCGTTAAGAACTCAAACTTCTCTGGAGCTCTCCTACTCTCATAATTAAATCTTGAACTTATTCTCAGGTTTCTGGGTCAAGATGCAAGAGATAAAAGTCCCTTTATAAGTTGCCAAGGAGGGCCTCAGGCTTTACAGCTGGCCTTAAGCTGGAGAATAATTACCGTCAGCCCTTCAGGTCTCTTTCTGGGCATTGAGAGCCTCCAGCACCAGTCGCCCAATTCCATGGTCGGTCTTCTCGAACAGGGTGTATTTCCCCCACCAACGCATTCCCCTCCCCCAGGACCCCATCCTACTTCACACCTAGTGAGGGTTTCAACAACTGCACTGACGCAGGGTGCTAGGGCCATGCATGCTCTACCTAACCCCTGGAGATGGAGTCCTCCCTGGGAGGTCAACAGGTGATTCAGCTTTAAAATCCCAGTTTGTTTTTCCATCTGCAGCGGCCACAGTGCGAGCAGCTGCCGCTGGGTCCGCCCAGCTTCCTGTCCAGGAGGACAGGCAGACACACAGCGCCCAGCCCGATAACCTGCAGGCTCACAACTCCCTCCTGCTACAACAGGCTTGATTCGCCGCAAGGCTGTGGGCACGGGGCTGCTGGCCAAAGGCACGGGTGTCGTGGAGGGCAGGAAGCAGAGATCCGGCCAGCAAAAACCCACCACCTCCTGCGTGAGGACCACTGTCCACAAGAATGCCCTGGCCACCCTGGGTAGCCCTAGGCTCACTATCCGCAAGAGCAAGAACCGCCCAGACCTGCACATGGCTGCTGGTAGCCCTCCAAAGGTGAAGAGGAAGCCGCCCCCACCGAGAGCTCCTGAGCTCCTGTCCCCACCTCCAAAGCCATAATAATGGCAACCACATCAAGCAATCAAGAAAATATAGAAAATAAAATAAAGGGGCGCCTGGGTGGCTCAGTCGGTTAAGCATCCGACTTTGGCTCAGGTCATGATCTCGCGGTTCTTGGGTTCAAGCCCCGCATTGGGCTCTGTGCTGACAGCTCGGAGCCTGGAGCCTGCTTCAGATTCTGTGTCTCCCTCACTCTCTGTCCCTCCCCTGCTCACACTGTCTCTCAAAAATAAATGTTAAACTTAAAAAAAAAAAAAAAGGAAACATCTAAAAAGCGCATGGAGCAGCACTGCTAGAGACAAGGCCCTGGGTGCTGTAACTTCTGAAGAAACTTCTTTCTACAGGAATCTGTGAGTTTGTGACTATTTCCCCATTCCTAAAGCCCTGTTTCTCTTCCGGGGATGTTTTCACTTAGGCCTGGAACAGGCGGCCTCTGCAGCCATGCCCAGGAGAGGGCGGTAGAAGCCTGTCTGGCTAGAAGGAGAGAGCCTCACCCTCTAGGTGTTGCCCTTCTCCTGCCGCTCTGTGCCCCAAGACTGGGGCGATCCTGGGGCGCCTGGGTGGCTCAGTTGGTTAAACATCTGACTTCAGCTCAGGTCTTGATCTTGCGGTTCGTGGGTTTAAGCCCTGCATTGGGCTGTCAGCTCAGAGCCTGCTTCGGATTCTGTGTCTCTGTCTCTGTCTCTGTCTCTCTGCCCCTCCCCCACTTGTGCTCACGCTCTCGCTCTCGTGCTCTCTCTCAAAAAGAAAAAAAAAAAAAAAAAGACGGGGGCGATCCTTACTGCAGGCCTGTGAGAGCCACTGCCCCAAGTGTGAGGAGGAGGAGCTGACACAGAGGTCATTCCAGGCCATGCGGTGGCACAGTTAGGCCAGCCTGTGAGTCCCCATCACCTCTGCCATCAGGTCCAATCTGAGCAACATTTCCAAGAGGCTCCTACCATTTCTAGCTTGAAAGTAACAGATCTCAAGAGATGAAAAGGCCAGATCCCTGGATGCTCACGCACCTCCCCTTACAAAAGCCCACCCTTGACCCGGCATCCCCTTCTACCCGCTGCCTGTCCTCAGTCTCCACTCGCGACCATGCTCCCGGAAGGCTGTCTCCACAGCCATGTGCATCCATACCCACATCCCCAGCTCACATCCTCTAGGAAGTCCACTCAGCCCAACCCCACTGACAACCCACTGCAGTGATTCATACCAACTTCACCCACAACCCAGTTCTAAACCCAGCAGACACCTCTGGGTCTAAATCCATGTCCCCATTCCCCCAGCCCATCTACTTCCATTCTGTGTTAGCGATTGATCCCACCACCTCTCCCTCTGCCCCATCCAAGAAACCTGGAGTCATTCTAGAATCTGTACCTGCCCTGATAACTCCAGCCCATTTAACCACAGTCCTGCCAACTCCTCCTCTTAAATCCTAGACTCCGTCTCCTATTTCCAGGCTCCTGCACAGATCAGCCCCCTCACCCCCCCAAGTGCTCAGCCTTCTGTGGGGGGCGGGAGATTTTATGAAATTAAATATTAAAAATGTCTGGGGGAAGCCGCTTCAGTTGGATCCCTAGGAAAGGACTCAGAGAGTGCCTGTCTGGGTTCTGTTGGCCAACTAAATACACAACTTCCGAGCCCCCCTCAAGGAGGAGGCCATGTACACAGGTGTGGGCAATGAGATGTTAGTGGGACTTGCGGGTGAGGGTGGTGTTCTGGGGCAGACCCACTTTCCAGAAAAGACAAGCCTCCCTGGTACAGTCCCTTCCTGCTCGTTCCAGACCTGTGTGTCTGGAACACGGGCAGGTGGGAGGCAGGGGGCAGAGAAAGTCTGAGAGGTGGGGGCTTGGGGGGTGTCTCCCTGGAGAGCTATATGGAATCTAAGTGCCTGGAAGACTGCGGGAGGGTTTCAGGCGGGAGAGTGACCGAGTCTGACTCCGGTTTCTTAGAAGATCACTCTGGCCAGGACATGGGGAAGGAAGGAGCACAGACACTGCTCTGGGGCTGGTCCAACAGCAATTCCCACTCTGATCCAGACACTTTCTTCCCTAGAAGCTAGAGGAAGTGGGGCGCCTGGGCGGCTCAGTCAGTTGAGCGTCCCACTTAGGCTCAGGTCATGATCTCACGGTCTGTGGGTTCGAGCCCCGCGTCGGGCTCTGTGCTGACAGCTAGCTCAAGAGCCTGGAGCCTGCTTCAGATTCTGTGTCTCTCTTTTTCTCTGTCCTTCCCCTGCTCATGATCTGTCTCTTAAAAATAAATGAACATTAAAATAAAAAAAAAGCTAGAGGAACTGAATGTTCCCTTTCCTGGTCTCTGGGGCACTTGGGTGGACCCCATGAGCCTGCTGTGGCAGGTGAGAGGAAGGTGAGAACTTTCAGGAGAACTTTTCTTGCCCTACAGAAAGAGAGGGACCCCCTGGTGGGCTCTCCTTCCCTCTCCCTGTCTGGAGTACAGAAGCAGCCCCTCCCAGGGGCAAGGCCCCAGGCTAAGGCTGAAGAGATGGGTGCTTGTTGAGGCTACTGAACCTTTGAACTTGCCCACAGCCAGACTACTGGGCAGGAAGACTGAACGGTTTGGTCTTCTGTTCCACGCAGAGCCTGGCGTTGTCAGCTCACAGACGGGGCTGGGGTCAGCGCAGACCTGCGAAGAGGTGAGTGAGGAGGGGCAGGGAGAGATGGTGGTGGCGTGGACTACAGGTCTCTCCACTTCTAGTCCGAGTCTCCCTGAGCTGGTCTCCACACTGACACGTTCTAAACGCAAATCTCGTCATGAACTCCTCTTGGTTTCAGATCCTTTGCTGGCTCTCCATTGCCGGCACCATACAGAGTAACCTTCTGGCCCAGTGGGCGGTGCCCTTTGTGACCTGTCCTGCCGTCCCTTCTCCCACCACTCCTGCCCCTGCACACCCTGTGCCGAGCCACCAGCCTGCCCTCCCCGTGAGCGCTGCCGCGTGCCAGGCACTGTGCACGCTCTCCCTGACCCGGCAGCCCTGAGAGGTATGAACTACACATCTTGGTTTATAGGTGAGAAAGCTAACGTCACAGAAATTAAGGGCCTGGGCCAGGGCCGCACATCTAGTAAGTGGTGGGTCAGGATTTAAAGGCTGGTGGGCTTTCAAAGCAAATCAGAGGTGTATTTTCCTCAGTTGTCAAGAAGTCCAGAGGCAGGCATGTGCTAGGTTGTGCAAGTGCTCAAAGAGGCCAGCAGGGCCTTGGTCTTCTGATCTTTCCTCTCAGCCACTTTGGAGGACTGACTCTCTCACCCTCCGGCCCGTCACTTCATGGCCTCACCACCGCCCCTTGGCTCCAGACATCACGTGCAGGTTCAAGTCTGGAAGGTGAGAAGGGGGGGCACCCCATCTTCATCTGTCAGACTCCCTCTCCCCCTTATCGTTGCTAAGAAAGCAAACGCTCTCCTAGAAACGTCTGGAGAGCTGCTCCAAACGTTGGGCTGCTCCTCGCTGCGCTGCGAGGCAGGCTGGGAGGCCAAGGAGTGTGGCTGTGGTTGGTGGGTCGGCTCAGAGGGCGTGCCGTCTGTCCGTCCGTCTGCCTGGGCCCCCCCACTGCTGTCCTCCATAAAGCCGACGCCCAGGTAGCAAGAAAGGGGCCAGGTTCACAGGAGAAGGATGGGGTTCGCTGCCACCGCCCTGCTCGGCACATGGTAGCACCTGTGGCCCCCCGGCCCCCCACCCCTCTCCACATCTGCCCGGCGAATCCTTTCCCACCTGTCACGTGCCAGTTCCTGAGGCTTCCCTCCCTCTCGAAAGCAAGGTATTCTCTCTTCCTCCTTTATGTGCACCTATTTCCATCACTGGTGTCTAACTTTAGAGTATTTTGAGAGAGAGAGAGAGAGAGAGAGAGAATGCGTGGGGGAGAGATGGCATGAGAATCTCAAGTGGGCTCCATGCTCCACACAGAGCTCGACGCAGGGCTTGATTCCCCCACCCTGGGATCTGGATGGAGCCGAAATGGAGAGCTGGATGCTCAAACGACGGAGCCACCAAAGGGCCTTGCGTTACAGCCTTTATAGTGACTGAGATAACTCACTCAGTTACGCAAGCACCCATTCTCTCCACCGATGCTCACTGCGCACTGGCTGTGTGCCAGGCTCTGGGCCGGAAGTCAGGAACTAGACAGTGAGCGAGTCCGACGTTTAGATTTGGTCCCTGCTCTGATGGAGCTTTCAGTCTAAAAGGTGAGAGACCCAGAGAGTTAAGGTCTGGGGGGAAAGCTGAACATCTCTTCCAGGACCATCAACCAGCACGTGGCAGGAAGGCCTCCCCGCCGTGCCCGCAGGGCCTGGCACACCACGTCCCACGGAGCAGATGCACCATGACCATGATTGTGCACCAGATGCGTGCTTTCCTTGGCCTTCGAATATACGCGAGTCGAAATGCCTTTCTTCCTTCTGCCTGGAACCCCCAGAAATGAGCCACTGCCCTCTTACAGGGTCACAGCACACCCTTAAGCAGCTGAAAAACACACCGTTCTCTCCCCAGCTCGCTGCAGGCCTCTCCCCCTCCCGGGAATGTTTCCAAGAGTGTCTAATTTCACACTTCACATCAGAGGTCCTTCGCACATGTGTGTTTTCTGCTGGAGGCTTCGTCTGGATTTTCTAAACAGGGATGCCACACTGTCGGAGCCACAGTGGATGCAGAAAGTACCTAAAATAACTCCTTGGGTTCCTGTTCTGGCGCACACAGTGAATGGTTCTAATAGTTCTCCAGCCACCCAGGCACTGCCCTTCCATTCTGGCCGGTGCGGGCAGCTGGGAACAAGATGGACCACATGCCTGGGGCGGGGGGGGGGGGGGTGCCTGTTGCCATGGCGACGAGGACCCAGACTCAGGGGTGAGGGGTCCTTCACTCAGTGGGATGTGGAGGCTTCAGAGAGGTGGGCCGTAGACACAGGGACTGTCTATGCCTTCTGGGCCTGGAAAGGACCTCTTGAGGCCAGCTGGCCCACGCCTGGCCTGTTAGCTAGAACCCAAATGGACGCGTGGCTTGTTGCTAAACCTCCACCACCTCTGGGTCACCTGTTAGATTCAGATTTCACAAGATGCGTGACCCTAAATGGGTTTTCTCACTGTCCTTCCAGCCAGGTGTCGGTATCGCTGCTGGAGGAAGGGGTTAATCTTCGCCTGCACACGCTGCACTGTAACCCAGGAGGGAAGACGGAGGACAAAGCCCCAGAGAGTGGACTAAGCTTGTTTCAGCACCACCCAGATCGGCGGTCCCCACAGGGTCCCCACCCCTGTTCTCCTGTCGGGCCCTAGCTCTGGATGCAAGGCGCCTGGAGAGGGAGGGAGGAGGGCCCGCAGGCCAATTGCAGAGGCCCCGGGCTGGGGTGGGCTGCCGCAGTCAGAGATCAGGCCATGCTGCCTGTCAGGTCGGAGTAGGAGCGAGCTGCACCGCCCCCCCCCCGCCCCTCCCCACGGGATGGCTTCCTCCCTTGGAGTGAAATACAGCGGAAAGAGCTGAAAGATCTGTTTTTAATGAGCGTCTTTACAAGCCTTTGCAAAGGCAGGCCAGGCCCGAGGTGGCCTGGAAACCCCGGCCCGGGGCTCTCTGGCTTCCAGCGGCCCTGCAAACACAAACGGTGCTGTGAAATCCCACCTCCACCAAACGATCCCAGCCCACACGATCACTTCAGAAATCCTTCTGTCTGGAAAACATGAGATGGCTCTCAAGGCAGAGCCTGGCTTAAAGATGAGGGGCAGCAGGAAGCCCCCCTCTAACCCCAAGAAGGGAGACTGCTCCCGCCCCTTCCAGAAGCAGCAGGGGAGGAAGGAAAGGCCACTGCGGGAGCACTGGGGACCCACAGTCTGCCAGGCATGGGCCCCAGCAGGTCCTACCCTCCTCCCCGGCACTCTGCACTCCTACACGCGTGTGTGTCGCTAGGCTTAGAAGACAGACGCCTCCTCCTGCCGCGGATATGCCAGACAAGCCCTGGGCCGCTCTTCACAGCCCCTAATTCCCCAAAATAGCGTCAAGAAAACTAAACACGCGCATGAAACTTCTCTGCAGCTTCTCCCTTTGGTTTCTTTCACACCCTGGGCTGAGAAGACGGTGCTTATTTTGACAGGAGTAAAGAAGCCTCTGTCTGTAAGTGAGGTTAACACCCACCCCGAGGCTGGATTCTTGCTGGTCTCTCTCAGCAGCTGAGCATCAAGATTCTGCTAATTAAGCTGCTTTCTTCTCCTTAATTAGCTGCATGTGAATCTTGTTGGGAAGTCTTGGATCCGTGAAATAGTCTGGGAGAAGAATCGAAAGGCAGAAATTGTCTAAACCCAAGGGGAAAGGCAGGGAGGGAGACGGCTTACGCGGCTCAAAAGCTGGCCTGGCTCGGACTCAGCAGGGCTGTTGCCAGTGGCCCAGCTTTCCAGCCAAGCGGAGAAGTCACAGCAGATCCCACATCCCTGTCCCGCCCACAGCAGATCCCACATCCCTGTCCCGCCCACCGCACGGCCTCTGGCCTTCCCAGGAAGGGCTCACCCGGGAAGCTCCCGCTCCTTCCCCACCGCCCTGCAGTGTGTCAGCTGTCAGCGTGCTGACACACAGGGGCCATCAGGGGCTAAGACTCTTCTGAGTGTTCTGCTCCCAGCCCATCCCGGGGCCCAAATAAATGCCAAGTGTTATTCTCGTCTCCGCTCCGCGTGCCAGCTCGCCTCTGAGCTAGCACGCCCTCTCCTCTCTGAGAATATCCTTTCCGAGGAGAGCCAGGCTCTCACACGATGACGCCAGAAGAGGGTTTTTATACACCCGGCAGAATGTGAATCAGACTCACTTAGAAGTGGTGTGAGGCCGAAACTGCTCCCTGGGCTGACAGAACCCAAGAAAGCGCCCAACCCAGCCCTTCCTTCTAAATACCTTTGACCTTAAGCCAGCGGGGGGCAGTGGAGCCCATTAGGATCACCTGGGGAGCCTTTAGGAGCGCGGGGCTGTGATTAAATGCCCACCTCTGGGAGCAGGCCTGGGCGTCAGCATTTCTTAAAAGCTCCCCAGGTGATTCTAATGGGCCGCCAGGGTGAAGAGGCCCTGCCTCAGGCCTCCCGGGGAGGGGCTGCCAGTATATTCCTTCGAGAATCTCAAGATTCTTCACAGTTCTCCCCAGGAGGAAGCTCTGCGGCCTTTCAGACCTGTCCTCATTTTGAGGAAGGAGCCTTCGGAACAAAGCTCCCTGGGGGAACGTCAGGGGACGAAGCACCCCAGACTCTGCAGGGAGAGCCGTGGGCTTGTCCAGAGTCTGCATTGGCAATAACACAACTGCAGATGGTACAAACGTGCCGGTTTCTCAAACACCCAAACCGACGCTGTCTTACTCACCCGCAGCAAATTCTTGGATGTCGTCTGGTCTTTTCAAAAACATTTCTCTGGAAAACATTAGGGGTGAGGGCAGGAGGAAAGCTGGCTTGAAGGCAGGCTGCACCCAGGCTCGGGCGCAGGGCAGACCGCGCCACGCCCCCCCAGGGGGCAGGCAGCCAGAGGGCCCCCACCCTCCCACTCATGACTCCCGGCTCGGAGGCAAGGAGAGATACATTCTATATGGCACCACGCCCAGGCTTGCTCACCGCCCAACAGCCGTGCCACAGCCAGGCGAGGCTTGTCATTCATTCAACCAACACTGTCACACACCGGGAGACCGGGTCACGGGCAGGCGGTGAAGATGAAGAAGGACGCGCTGCCTCGTCCTCGAGGCACAGATACGCAACCCCACAGCCCCGTGACCACCGTCAACCGTGAACTCCCACCGGAGCCAGAGGACAATACCATCAATGAAGTGAAGAAGAGGAACCGAGCTGCTGGCAGGCCCTGGCGCCGCTGTGGAGGTGAGCGCGCCTGGTCCCTCAGAGTTTATGGTTCGTAAAGAATGTTCACACCTATTATCTCACTTTACAGCAACCCTGGGAAACAGCAACGATCACGCTCCACTGTACATATGAAAGAAATTAAACCTTCAAAAGGTTAATCATTTCCCCAAGTTGATAAAGCGAGTAAATAAAGGGCCGAGGGCCCAGGTCCTGTGGTGCCAGGGCTGCCCTGCCCACAGGCCTGGAAGGAGGCCTCGCAGGCCTGTAAAGCCCCGCCTTTCCTCGGGGCGCCTGGGCAGCTCAGTCAGCTGGGCATCCAACTTCGGCTCAGGTCATGATCTCAGTCTGTGGGTTCGGGTCCTGCATGGGGCTCTGTGCTGACAGCTCAGAGCCTAGAGCCTGCTTCACATTCTGTGTCTCCCTCTCTCTGCCCCTCCCGCACTTGTGCTCTGTCTCTCAAAAAGAAAAAAAAATTTTTTTTAATTGGCTTTCCTTCTCCTTGAATTCCATCTGATCATTACTGAGCACAGATTCTGTGTAAGTAACTACACTAGATATGAGGGAGTGATTTTTTTTAAGATGAAATAAAGCACCACCTCAAAGAAATGAGTCAAGTTAAAGAGAAAGGGTAAGTTCCCAAACGTCCAAAAGGCCAAGCAAGCACCAGGAAGAGCTATAAGAGGGTGTTAATAGTGGGCTGTGGACAGGGAGAAACTCACTGAGAACAGGGGGCAGCCCTTGCGGTGCGCATGGGATTTTGGTAGGCAGGACAAGGGCATCCCAGACATGAAAGGAAGCAGCTCGTGTCCTACAGATGGTAAACCCCTCAGGGGTAGCAGGGATTGGGTCCTGTCCACCTTTGAATCCCCAGGGTCCGGAAGGGCACTTGGAGTGTCAGTGCCCCTGACAGATGAGGACAGTGGGGAGGTCAGTGGAATGATGAGGTTCCGTCTGGCTGGATTGGGGGGGGCAGGTGCAGAGAGCAGTGGGAAGTGAAGGGGCCTATTATGGAGAACTGGAAGGCCAGGGAGAGATGATTACATTCAGTTCACAAGATGGGGGGGATGGGCGCACAACGCTCAGCCTAGTCCGAAAGACGAACATACCCTGCAGTGAGAATGGAGGATCTAGGAGACTCAGCTGAGCAACTGTCACAAAAGAGCACCTACTGTGGAATTCCACTTACGTAAAGTGCAAGAAAGGCAAAACAAATCTGGGCTAAGACAAGTCAGGACCCTAGCTACATCTGGGGGGATTTGTGAACGTTCACCCAGGTTAGGGTATGCCACTTTTTATTATCTTTCAACGGAATGTTAAAAAAAGGCAGAGGGGGTAATAATGTGGAGTCATTGAAGATTCTTCCAGCCAAGGAATGGCATTATCAGTTCTAAATTTGGGGAAGATTCATCTGCCTCACTATAGACTAAAATATTTAAGAACACCTTTCTACAATTTCCCTACTCTTCCCATTCTTCAGGCCCAAAATTCAAGACCCTAAGTGTTCCAAACACTGTGTGTACAAGTATGCTCCGGAGAGCTGTGACTGAATGACTGTAAATCATTAGGATCTGGAAACCCCAAGTGGAGAGCTTGCTTCCCAACAAAAGCACTTTGGAGCTTCTCATGGGTCGGAGTGAGTCTAGAACAGAGACCTGCAGAACCCGGGAGGGCAAGTAGGCTGCCTGACAGGATTCTGTCCCCTCCTCTCCCCTCCTCTAGTCCCAACAGGACAACCATCTGAAGTACCTAGTACAGATGTGGGGCTGATTTTGACTCCTACTGGTATCTTCCAAAGGAAATAAGGGTAACACCAAAAACAAACAAAAAGCAGGGGCGCCTGGGTGGCTCAGTTGGTTGAGCATCTGGCTCTTGATTTCGGCTCAGGTCATGATCTCACAGTTTATGGGTTCGAGCCCCACATCAGGCTCCACACACTGACAGTGCAGAGCCTGCTTGGGATTTTCTCTCTCCCTCTCTCTGCCCCTCCCCTGCTTGCGCTCCCTCTCTCAAATAAATAAACTTTAAATTAAAAAAAAAAAGTCCTGGGGCTCCTGGGTGGCTGTCTGTTGAGCATTCGACTTCCGGCTCAGGTCATGATCTCACAGCTCTGCTGTGAGTTCAGCCCCACAATGGGCTCTGTGCTGACAGCTCAGAGCCTAGAGCCTGCTTCACATTCTCTGTCTCCCCCTCTCTGCACACCCCTCCCCCCACTGTCTCAAAAATAAACATTAAACATTTTAAAAAACATTCTCTACCTTTAAAAAATATATTTTATGCCTTTGTGTTCCTAAAGGCAGCAATAAGGAGTGTTTAAAGAAAGAAGGAGCCAGTCACAATCATGTCTCCCCAGACAAGATTTGGTCATATTCCCCGCTAGTTGTGGCCAGCTGGGAAAACCACCTACCTGAAGAAACCACTTATGAGCAACTCCACCTCTTTGTGCGTCCTAAGGTATTTTTCGTTAGCTATCCGAGTCTGAATCTGGGAGGACGAGAGCAAAAGGTCATACTCCATGAGGAGACGGGTTTCAGGCTTCAAGACCTGCGGGGGCGAAGGCTTTGGGCACACAAGATGGGCACGTGACCTGGGTCTTTCCCCGGGATGTGTGAAATTTGAAGCCGCCTGTTTTCTTACAGAACAACACCCCCGAGCTGCATCCTGCTCCGGCTCAGGGACCATTACTAAGGTCGGGTCTCCACCGTCCGGAAGTTCTGGTTCGGATCAAAGTTACTGTCTCCGGCAAGAATTTCGGGCCACTCCACTGCCTAAACCCCTGCTGTAGTTCTTCCCGCTCTTTCAGGCGCCTGCCGGGCTCCGTTCGGGTCCCCAAAGCCCAGGGGCCTACCAGGGGTCTCCCCCAGCCTTCCGCCCCTTCACCACAGGCTCCCGCGCTCCTCCTCCCGGGCCTCCCCCCTGCCTGCGGCCCTTGTCCCGGGGTAGCTGCCCGCGGACAGAGGCCGGGGTGGGGGGCGCACCCACCTTGAAGAGGCGCAACTGCTCCAGTTGCGCGGGGCTCAGCGCCCCTGGGTCCGGCCCCAGAAGCCCTCCCTGCAGCGTCGCCATCTTGTCCGGGTCGTCAAGGCGACGGACGACGCGGCCGAAGAGGCCCCGCCCCTCCCCCCAAACCCGGCCCCCTCCGGCGCTCGGGGAGGGGCCGGGGCCAGCAGTTTGGGGGCCGCTCCGAGGCGGAGGAATGAATTCGGACCCCTGTCGGCGGGATCCCCTTCCCCAGAGCGGGAAGCTAATTTCCCGTCTTGGTTGTAAATGGCATGAGCCCTTCTGGGCCCCACCCAACCTCACATAGTGTTTTTTCTAGGCTCTAGAGGAAAACTGGAAAAGGAATTCCTGAGGCAGTCTCCCAGAATCTGCTTCCTGACCCTCTCCCTTGTTTGGCGACTGTTGAAACCTAATAGTAGGGAGAGCTAGCGAATTCAAGCTTCTTCCCCTTCCGCCGGCCCGGAAGCGAACTCCCCCCGCCCCCTTAAGTCCTGCAGACACCTGACCCTTAGCATGAAAACATCCCATAGGATGGAGTGAACTGAATTCTGCAAAGGAGGGAACGTTCTCGCACCAGAAATACTGGAAAGGACCTGGGGGGCATCTTGCCAGAGGTTTCCCCTTTTGGACTGACTTTCTTGTGTAGAGAACTTGCTCCTCCAAAATTCCAAATTCTCTCTCCACTCCCAATTGAACGGAGGAGGTGAAAAGCAGTTGGTCTTCAAGGTGTGTTCCTCTAGCATCTAATTAAGAAAGGAAAGTGAAACATGAAGCCAGAGAGCTGGAAATAGGCCTGGAAAGGGCAGAAGCCTGTCAACACAAGTCATGCTGAGTTTCTGCATCCCCAGAGATCAGGCCCAGGAAAGGCCTTCTGGAGAACACTGGAAAGAAGGCTGGCCTTTCAGATTTGTGAACTGCCCAAGGAGAAACAAGCCCAGCATTAGACCATGGCCTTTGAGGGGGTCTCTCTGTGGTCTGCCTCTATCCTCAGCACAGACTGAGGAGAAGAAGTGAAAATGTTGGCAGTTCCGGAGCCAGGGAAAAATCACTGAAGGTAGATTAGGCAGTGAGCTGCAGGTCCCTCATTCAGGTTACTAATCACTATGGTTGTTTGTCTGGATTTTAGGAGAAAGAGTTAATAGAGAGGTAGATAAGCTGCCACCTGTCACAAGTGATTTTTTCAGGCAGGAGCAGAGGTTAATCAGAGGTGACAGTTCTGGTTGGCCAAGACCTGTCTCTTCCTGCCCCTGTACCCCCAGAGTAGCTAGTGAGGGAACCCCTTAAGCTCTATCATCAATATGGTCACCACGAGCCACCTGTGGCTATTGGGCACTCGAAGTGTTGCTGTGTCAGATGTGCTATCAGGTGTCAAATACACACTGGATTTTGAACACGTACATTTTGTTTGTTTTAAACTCATTTTGAGAGAGAGAGCATGAGGGGGGGAGAGGGGCAGAGGGAGAGAGAGAGAGAAAGAGAGAGGGAGAGAGTCTTAAGCAGGCGCCACGCTCAGGGAGCCTGACGGTGGCCTCAGTCCCACAACCCCAAGATCATGATCTGAGCCGAAATCAAGAGTCAGATGCTCAACCAACTGAACCACCCAGGTGCCCCTTGAACACGTAGTTTTTAAAAAGCAAAATCTTTTAATAGTCTTTATATGGATGACACGTTGAATATTTTAGATATATCATATAAACACTTTGAATAATATTTAGGATATATCAGTTCAGTGTAACCTATTATTTAAAGTGATTTCAGGATGCCAGGGTGGCTCAGTTGGTTCAGCATATGACTATTGATTTTGGCTCGGGTCGTGATCTCTCAGGTTCTAATTTGAAGCCCTGCATCAGGCTCTGCACTGATAGTATGGAATCTACTTGGGATACACTCTCTCTCCCTCTCTCCCTTTCCCTCCCTCTTTCTCTCACTCTCTCTCAAAATAAATAATAAAAACTTAAAATAAGTAATTTCACTTGTTTCTTTAACTTGTTTTATTTTTTAATGTTTTATTTTTGAGAGAGAGAGATAGAGACAGCGTGAGCAGGGAAGGGTCAGAGAGAGGGAAACACAGAATCCAAGGCAGGCTCCAGGCTCTGAGCTGGCTGTCAGCACAGAGCCCAACGCGGGGCTCAAACCCACAAACTGTGAGATGATGACCTGAGCCGAAGTCGGACGCTTAACCGACTGAGCCACCCAGGTGCCCCTGTTTCTTTAACTTTTTAAATGTGACTACTAGAAATGTTTAAATTATATATATATGGCTCACATTATATTAAACAATATATGGTTTGTTTGGTCTGCATTGGCAAACGTGCACACACACACGTAAGTAGGTAAAATTCTCTCCATCTTCACACCCCATGCATAAAATAAGTAATATTCTCCTTCTGCCAGTCTGTGGTCTTCTTGTGTTTTGAAAAGCAATCCACCTTTTCTTGACTGATCAGATCCCATGGCCCAAACACCCATGGTTGTACACAAGCAGGCTACTTCTACTTACTTTTGGTTTCTACCCAAAAGCATCTCAGTCCTCACTACTGCACCTGGTGTTGGTCAATCTTCCCTCTCCATATGAGACAGAAGCCCCTTGACGGAAGGAAGATCACATAACAGGTTGCTGGTACGGGCTCATGGCTTCTCCTGAAGGTGGTTCCCCTCTGCTTTCAGGTGCTGAGGCCAGCAAGTGACTCGCAAGTCTGCCTACCATTTCCACCACTACATTTTGCCCTTTCTGGAAAATATCTCAATTATTCAGCATGTCTCATTTTCTAAGAATCTAAAATCAGGAGTAGAACTCTCCCTTTATAAAGTCAATCATCTTTTTTATGTAGGGCAGCTTAGCGTCGAGTGCAGAAGAATAAGAAAGAGGGTGAGCTTGGGGATGGCAGGCTGAGAAAGAACCTTGGAAGAAGGAGGGCTGGGAAGCCTCATTTCCACCTGGAGAGCAACTCCCCAGAATGGGCCTCTGAGTCGTAGGATTTACCCCCCAGAGTTAACTCACAGGACAGAGATGTGCCCACAGTCACCCAGCAAGCGTAGCCTGAAGCAAGCTCCGGCCTCTTCTCCCCTTACCGCTGCCTCTCCTTTCAGATGGAAACCTTCCATCTGGGGACTGGAGGCATTCTGCTGCCTGCAGCTGTCTCCCCAATTGCTGACTGGAGGGAGGAGTGAGGGGAGTTCATTATAATTCATTTTTGTAAATGTTGAATATTTCAATTAATGTGATTAGCCCCAAGCCTGAATGAGCAGCAGGGCAGCAGATCTGCTGACAAGACACGTAGTAACAAGATCAACAGGGCCATGGGGTCTTCCTAGACTTCATGCTCAGAGGGTGTGATCTATTTAGCATCTCTGTAAATACCAAGATCAGATTAGAAGGCAAGAAAAGGAGCAGTGAGGGTGGAGTAGGGGTGGAAAGTTACTTTCCAGATGTGTCTGCACTCTTGGTTCCCTGGCAGTGTCATCACGTGTTCTGACCATGCAGTACTGGGTCCTCTACCATCTCCCCTCAATGTGCCTGTTTAGTGTAATCACACACACACACACACACACACACACACACACACGCGTGCGTGCACTCAAACCCAGGCTAAGGAAGAAGGGAAGGTGATCAACAGAGAATCAAGCAGTAGAAAGAAAGCCATCTCTCAAACAGGGCTCAGATGAAGATACAGGAGGGAAAAAGGCCAGGTTTAGCCACTGCCCTCACTCCCATGGGGAGCATTTGATATGGGGGTTAAACTCAGGACTCAGGAGCCAGACCACCTGGGCTCCACCCTCATGAGATCCCTTGCTAGTTGCCCAACATTAGGCAAGCCATTTTCTCTCTCCGCCACTTGGTTCCCTCCTCTTTATTTGGAGATGATGGTAGAAGCTTTATCATAGGGTGGTGCTGAGGCTTAAACAAATTAGTAAATACAGAGCACTTGAAACAATGCCCGGGACACCATAAGTGTCATCTAAGCACTGACTTTTACTATTACTTCCTGTCCAGAAGAGCAGCCTGCCTGCTGTGGTAGTGGAAGGATGGGGGCTGCTGAGATTGAGTTGAGACCTATTTCAGAGACATTGGTGCCACTGTGGGACATCAGCAGCACTCTGGGGTGAAGAAGGGGATGACAGGAGACAGGGTGTTCCTCCAAGGCTGCAAGCAAGAGCTGCCCTGTCTGGAAGAGCTGATGTCAGCAGGTACTCCCTGCACGGAGCGGTGCCATGAGTGGGCCCAGTGCACCAACAGGTGAAGCTCCCTCGAGATTACGGGGCAAACAGACCATCCATAGAGGAATGGCTGTTAGGAGAGTAATGGCCCGCAAGCGTGCTCCCCCCACCCGTTTTTTTGCTACCTGACTCACTTTGAGAGTCCCACTCAAGGAACCTAACTGGGAGAGGGGGGCAAAGGGAGGAGAAATTGGGTTTCTTCTGCCCTGCAGGGGAGCTTGCCAGCCCTGGTTCTTCCCCCTAAAAGAATCAGGAATCTCCTCTTACCAGAGGTTCTTTGCATCAACTGTTTACTCAAGAAATAATCGTTAAGCAACTGGGTATGAGCAAGACACTGTGCTAGACACCAAACAGTAAAATGCTGAATTAAACAGTGTCCTGGTCTTCAAGGAGCTTGCAAGCAATAGCTCTCGAAGTCATCACCACTGCCGCCTCCCTGCCCACGCACTTACACACACAAACCACCAAGAGGGAGAGAAGGGGGCGTTGGCAAATGCCAGCAAGACACAGTTTTTCTCGGATCCTTTTCTGGAAAATGCACAGTGCTCTCTTTGCGCTCATTTCACCCTGCTCTCCCCTTCCCCACCCCCCTTTCCATCTTTCCTCTCTGGATGCCCTTCTGCCCTTTCCTTCAGGCTCTGAGACCTGCTTCCCACCCCATCTACACCTCCCTCCTCCCCCCACCCTCAACCTGCCCAACTGTTCCCAAGCCATTTTCTGTTCCCTGGATTCTTTCCTTGGCTCCCCACATTCGGTATCCCCAGATGCCGGCTTCCCTCTCCTCCTCCCCCCTGCGCCCCTCTCCTGGGTCTTCGCTTCCAGCACCGGGGACAGCTCCAGCCCCCGGAACAATGGACCCCAC